AAGTAGGCGCTGAGGTTGAACTCCTGTGTGTCATTGGCCTTGATGCCCAGGTAGGTGATGCCGGAGTCCTTGTAGAAGTTGGCGTTGGTGTTGACATGCATGAAGGACCTGCCCTCAGCTGCATTCAGGACATGGGTGATGCCCAGCTTCTGCAGCTTGGGGATGTCTTGAGCCACAGACCTGGACAGGAAACAGCAGCAGGGGAGGATCAACTGACTACCTGGCAGCCCTCAGGGGAGGAAGATGGAGAAGAGAGACCCTAAGCCTCTTGGCTCAGAAAAGAACCTTCTGTGCTCTGGTCCCTGCTGGCTTCTCCAGCCTCGGCTTATGACCCTCTGCCCTCACTCCAGCCAGCTCCAATTACCTGCCACAAATAGCCTGGATGCTTTCATGCCCACACTGTTCCCGCTACCTGGAATGCCCTTCTCCACCTTCTTCATAAAGGTGCACCCTCTCATATCTCATCTCCCTTGGCAGCATTTCCTGATCTCCCCTTCATCCAGCATCATGCTCTCGATACTGTGGTGGTGGTATCACCAAGAGGCTAAAAATGGAGCCAGGCTCCAGACAGCCCTGTCACTTACTAAGCTTGAACAAGTCACTGAACCTTTCTATGCCTCAGTTTCCCTGTCTGTAAAATGATGATGATAACAGTACCTACTCCTGGGGCTGTTGTGTTAAATGAGCTGTTCTACAGACAGAGTCTGACACCGTGGTCAGGGCCACTACCCTAATGCTTGATTGTGCTTATTTGTTTAGATGTCCAGGCTGTGAGCTCCTGATGGAGAAACCATATCTGCTTCATGTCTGTATGCCCTGCACGTGCTCTGGTACCTGGCACACACAGTAGGTACTGAAGGAATTTGTGGTGAATCCGTGAAGAATGAAATCAGCACAGCCCAGCAGCCTTCTTCCTTGGATTATAGAGTGCAGCAGCCCCCTTCCGACCCCTAGAGGGATCCTTCCTGCCATAGTCCACTAGCCACGTCTCTGAAGCTTTCCTGGGTGAGTAAGCACTTGGGGAGCCAGTGGAGGTTACAAAACATTCGATCTGAATAGTCAAAGGGCTGCTTTATTTCATCTCACAACAACATCCCAGTTCAAACAGCAGTTTACACTTTACACAAGGCCTTCTCCTGCGTGATCTTGTTTGCCTGTCACATCAGCCCTGGGAGGAAGGAAGGACAGAGCTTCAACTCTGGCCCAACAGGACAGACAAAGGACGTGCATATGCTCTCAAGGGCTGCTGCATGGCAGGGCTGGGAGGAGGCCTTTTCTCCCGACTCAAGGCCTGCTCTATCTTCCCCCTCACTCTGCTTCTCATGCCCCCACATCAAGCACAAATCTCGCGAGGCAGAAAACGGGGCTCCTCCAGGTTTCACTCTGCCCTGTGAGCCCTGATCAGGGGCCCTGATTTTGTTAAAGCACTCCTGACTGCAAGGGGTGGGGGAGAAATAGGTACTCAGTCAATCCTCCCTGTGAAGCACTCCCCATACCCCTGTCTGTGTCAAGGTCAGGCTTGCTTAAAGGCAAGGGGTGTGTTTTCTACAGTGGCCATTGGCACGTGCCACCCTGGACCACCACCAGATGTTCACATCTTTGTTTTCCACCTTGGAAGTGGTGACAGATGACTGAGCCAAACTGCCCAAGAGAGCAGGGTTTCCAAGAGTGCCAAGGCCCCTTGCTGCTTGGGTGGATGGAGAGGGGCTTATTCTCAGAACTCGGCAATTACTGAGGACTCTGGATGAGATTCTGGTACCCTTAGTTAGCTATCAGGACACTGCACGCAACTGTAAAGTAGTGGCTCATTAAAAAGGCTCTAAAATAACTAACTTTCAAGAGTCACTGCCACTCATCTTCTCTAATACTAAGTCAACATTCAACAACTTTGCCATCGCTACTGTGAATGATGACTTGTCTGGTGGCTCAGACAGTAAAGAATCTGCCTGCAATGCGGGAGACCCAGGTTCCATTCCGGGGTTGGGAAGATCCCGTGGGGAAGGGCATGGCTACCGACTCCAGCATTCTTACCTGGGAAATTACATGGACAGAGGAGGCTGGTGGGCTACAGTCCATAGGTGCGCAGAGTCAGACACGACTGAGCAATTAACACACAGGAATGAACCTTGTTCAGCGCCTGACACCAGTGATACTCCATATGGTGAATGAGTGATGGATGGATGAGGTTGGCCCCCATGAAACTGGGATCTGCCTTCTAGACCCCCCTAGTTCTGTGATGACCCCCATTTTTGTGGCAGTCCTTGGCAAAGTAAGCATCAGGTCCTAGTCCAGGACCTGGGATACAGACATGAACAAGATATTGACCCTAACCTCACAAGCCCTCACCTGCTCTGGGCCACCATTTCTTCCTGTGTGAACCGGGTTAGCCATGCGGTCTCTGGGCCCACGGAGCTTAGGGCCTCAGGGTCTCATGAAAATCCAACCTGCGCCCTCCGGAGGCTACACAGGCATGGGAATCTATTTTTAACTTTTGGCTGAGATTTCAACACCTCTCAGAATGGCTATCACTAGTTCTCTCCTGCTGCTGAGAAATTCTTACTAGTAGTTTGACTATGAGAAAATGAGAAAATCGATTTGGTAAGAACTCCTAAATGATAAATAATAAATGCATTTCCTGGTGGCGAGAAGGTCGGCAGCCTTTGCTAAGTGATGGCTCAGGTCCTCAGGGGTTTTATCATTGGGTCGTTCTAGAATTCTAGGTAAATCAAACCCTAAGTGGAAGGTAGGGGTAGGAGCGAGGAAACCTGGGCCCAGATCTCTGAACCCCCAAGTTTGGGATATGTCAATTCTCCGATCTAAGCCTGCCTCGCCGGGAAAATTCCACGCCCGAATTGTGACGTCAGCCCGTTGCCATGGCAGCGAAGGCAGACATTCCGCGGTGACCTCACTGCAGAACCAGGCAGCTGTCACATGACGCGCGGGCCGGAGACCGGTCGGGCGATAGAGGGCCACCTGTTAAGTGAACCTGGTCGCCCCGACACCGCCCAAGGCCGAGCACCTAGAGGGTGGAGGCCTCGGGCCGGATACCGGCTGCCCGAGCGGCCACAGGTCTCCACCACCCAGGGAAGGGAAGGACAGAGCAGGGATGGGGCGGGGTCCGGCCCCTCCGCCCCACGCACGAAAGGTGGGCGGTGACTCCAGCCCCCGCCCAGCCCCGGCCCCGGCTTCCGGAGGAGCGACCCCGCCCCGGCTCCCCCCACCCGCGCCGGCCGACGCCCCCACCCCAGCCCTCGGGTGGGCGGGGCGCCCCGGGGAGGGGCTGGAGGGGCATCTGGGGGCCCGGGAGAGGCGACTCACGCGTTGCCCACGTAGATCCTGGGGGTGACCTCGTTGCAGGGCTGGCTCGGGAGGCTGTAGCAGCCGCTGCCATCCGAGAGCAGGTCGTTGAGATCCTGCACAGAGAGCTCGAACGGGCCCGACATGGCGGCGGCAGGGCCCTGCACGCCCGGGCAGCCGCGAGCGAGGGGAGAGCGGCCGGGTCAGCTGGGCGGGGGCTCCCGAGCCGGGACCCGCCCCGTCCCGCCCCGGAGGCGGGCCCGCAAGGCGCGGGAAGCGGCGAAGCGCGGGCGCCCAGGCGCGCTCAGCTCAGGGAAGTATGCGCGCCGCTTGGCGCCCGGGGGACACGGGGAAAGACTTCTGGGCCTGAGTCCGGGGCGGAAATGCTGCCACCCTGGAGTTTCCGAGAGTCCTCTTCCCACTCCCCTTTGAGGCATAGACGTTCAGTAACTCCACTGGACTAAATGCAGGGCGCAATAAAAGTTTTTCTTGACCGAGGGTACACCCAAGTGTCGTTTAATTTTCTCTGGATTACAGGGACACCTGGGTTCCGATTGTGAGCTCTGACTGCCTGCTGCTGACCAGCAGCGTTGGCTTCACCCGGGAGCTGGTCAGAAATGCACAATCTCCGCCCCAGCTCAGACCTGCTAAGTGAGGATGTGCATTTTACAAGCCCGGGATCCCTACAAAGGTTAAAGGCTGAGAAGCCCAACTCAGGGGCACATTTCTTCCTGCCTTCAATGGGAGTCGGCATCGTGCCTAAAGCTTGGGCTCGATGCAGACAAGAATGGCATTTTGGCCCTGGGCAGTGACTTAACCTCTCTGAGCCTCTTTATGAAAAAAAAAAAAAATGGACGTAATGAAAGCACCTACCTCCTAGGGCCTTGTGAAAGATTAAATATAACATTCCAGGAAAGCGCCCAACTTTACATAGCGAGCACTAGGGAGGTGTTCTCCCTCTCCATCAGCAAACGGTGTAGCAAACCCACTAGGTGCTGCACCTCCTAGAGCATCTGCCAGCCCACTGCAAGCCACATGATGTCAGCAACTCATCATTTACTGAGGTCCTGCTACCAGCAAATGACCATCCTCCTCCACTGGCATGAAAATGGCAGATGTCCCCACCCTCCAAAGAGCAACTGTGGTGCTGGGAATTCAGGAAACCCACATCCCAAGCCCAGTTCTGCCACTAACTTTCTCTAGAGCAGTTTGTTTGTTGCTCAGGACTTCAGTTTCCTCATCTGCAAAATGAAGACATTGAATCAAATTATCATTAAGGATCTTCTGTTGATATCTCCCAACAGCTGTAGTCTCACACCTTCAGGGAAACCGTTGCAGTGGAGACTAAACTTACAGCCCAAGGTGTATAACCAAGGCTGGTTTTCTCCAATCTCCCACCCCCACCCCATGCCTTCCCGCCCCTTCCAGACAACACACTTTTTCCTGCTGCCGTTGGTGGCACCAGAATTCCAGGCAGGTGGGAAATCTGAGCCTTGGTCCTCATCTTGACTTGGACCTAGGTTAACTTTCAAAAGAGAAGCCCAGGGACAACCAGGCATACTCCACTGCCCCTCTTTCTTCCCTGGGGACCTGTCCCTGATGTCATAACTGGGTAACTATGACAACCCATCATGGACCGCCAAGTACCTCACAGAGAAAGGAGCCTGGGTGCCTCATTTCTGAAGTGAGACTAGGAAGAGAAGATGAACAATTCCCTGGATTATCTGGCATACCCTGTAATTGTCTCTAATCATAGACAGAGTACATCCTTCAGGAAGAAGCTGGATTTTGGCCACTACGCATTTCATAAGAATAGAATACAAATAGGTATGTGGGGCAATTTAAACTGGATACTATGTCTAGGATTCTGAAAGGGCTCACCTTAGAGATATTGATAGTAAACCAGAGCAGTACACAGCTTTGCAATGATATGGCCTTATCTGCTGAGTCTGGTCAAGAGGGCATTAGCGTCAGTGACAAAATTTATCTTCCACCAGGGAGTTCCCTTGATGGAAACACTCATTTAAGCACTTTAAAGCCAAAAATATAGACAGAGGATGAGACTGCAGCATCTAGTAGCCAGGCTAGTCATATTGGGAAAGGGTGGAAGAAAGTCTCTTTCATTAGCTTCAAGGAACATTTATGTCTGTAAATTTTTTCTCAGCCCTCATCATGCTTTCATGTCTGCTCAAAACTCTTCAAAAGATGTCAGTTTGGGAAAGTCAACTAAACCAGAATCCCTGAACTGAATTGGTCCAGAATTCAAACTTGTAATGTTTTAATCAGTGTCATTGTGTAGAATGTGAGCAGAGTCTCTAAGGCTACCAAGAGGATACCTGTGATATAACATTTCTCTCTTTCCTTCCTCTCCAGTGAAGCCTACTGTTGATACCAAACCTCCAGCAGCGCACACACATCACATTTTAAAATTAAGCAAACTGCAGGTATTTGTTCTTGCCATCTGCAGATATACCTTATCTATGTTCCAAAGAGGTCCAGTTTCCCAGAGCCTTCTAAATACCCACCACTTCCTCCTCCTCTCCATACACAACCCCTGGATTCCTCAGCCCTGCTCCCAGTCTCCACTGTGGCCCCCAGTTTGCCCCTTTCCCATAATCCTACAGGAGGGGGATGCTCAACCTTTGTGAGCAGGAGTATCATGTGGTAGCGATGATGTCACCATGGTGGGGTGGGGTTTCTCACCAGGGTGAACAAAAGAGAATCGACAAAATTGAATACGAAAACAAGCAACTGTGTCAAAAAATCGCCAATGCCCACCGAGGCCCCGCCAAGGTGGATTGCTGGAACGAATATTTTTCCAAGAGGTAGTATTATTTCTCTTCATTTCATTTTCTGAAAGTCAAAACTGACTTCCCCCTTGTTGGGTTTTAATACTAGAGGCATACTTAAGGAAAGTTATCCTGAGGGATAACCAAAGAGACCATGTTAAGGAGAAAGAAAACCACCCCAAATAAGAACCTTTCTCTAACGTGAAAGAGCTAACTTTTCTTCCCTAAGAGACTCTTTGGAGTCCTATTTAGAGTTTGTCACAGGAAAGCACTTTTGTAAAATGGTGATGATAACTGGGATTTTAATATAGCATTCTTAAAATTGTTTCTGCAAATATTTGCTGAGCAACTACTATGTGCTGAGCACCAGGAATACAGAGGTGAAATGAGATGTATGTTTCCTAACCTCAAAAAACACAAGGTCAGAGAGAGGGGACATTTATGCAAATAATTACGCAGTGTGATCAGGGCTACAAAAGGAGTGTATGCAAGGAAAGATGAGTGTTTGAGTATCTCTGTGTGTAAGTGTGTAGGGGAGAGTGTCAAGATGTCTTTCCTGATCCTTGTGTATTTAAAACTGGGTTGAAAGCTGAGGGGAGTAAGATGAACCAAGACTATTACCAGCTATTTGTGATTTTGGGGTAGACAAGACCTGCATCACCTAAACCAGAGATTCTCAATCCTGGTTTCATATAATAATGCCTGGGGAGCTATTGCAAAATGCTAATCCCCAAGCTCCATCCCAGACCAATAAAGTAGAATCTTCTAGTAGCCTGCAAGGCTGAGAACCACTGGCCTTAACCTAAAAAAGCTCTGCATGTTTCCCAGAATGTGGTCTGGTTCAATAGGTTCTCAGGGCTCCATGGAACAGTAGGCTCCCAGCACGCAGGCAGCCTGAATTTCTGACATCATAACTTCATCTTCCCCACTCCAATCTGGAAGGAGAATTTTATTCTTCACTTATCCTAGGATTTTTTTTTTTTTCCAGCTTAAACAGAGAAACAAGGAACCGGGAGCTAGTGAGAATCACTGTGGAAAACCAGGGCATCCTGAAGAGGCTTGGTGATCGCAAACCACACTATGAGCGCAAGTCGGCAGAGTTAGATTGGCAGGCACGTGGATACCCTGTGATAGTTTTATTCACTCACAGAATCTGGCTGTGTTCAGAGGAGAGTCAGTCTCAGGAGAGACCCCTGATTGTTGGAGGACAAAATCATGAGGAATGTAACAATCTGTAAAAGAAAAACTGCCCAGAGTCTACAAATCTAACAACAGGAGCAAACCTTTCACCAGCTAAGGACATCTCCTTGGTAGCAAAGCCATTATGTGACAGTTTCAGAAAATATCTGGTAACATCTTCCCTCATCCCTTAATTCATTTAGGTTGAATGAGCAAGCAAAGAAGATGAAAGGTATACAATTCAGTATGTGGTTGATTTGTTTCATATAGGGACAATCCTGCAAGAGGGGGAGAAAAGCCATCTGGAGTGTTTTTATAAACTTCCACTCTCTGGCTTTGGTCTGTAAGCCTTTTCTAAGCCCCATAGGATTTAGAACCTCAACTTTCACACCAGCACCTGGGCACTGACATAAATCTTTCTGATTTTTTTCCTTCAAGAATTCAAGACGCTATATCAGAAATACAACCAGATATCTTCTCTCCCGAGATAAATAGGTATGTCTTCACATGGCTGCCCTTTATCAGAGAACATGGTGATCACAGTTGATGCCAAAGCCCTAAAATCCATGTAGATGGAGAACGAGGGGCCCAACCAAGGGGCGAATTTTGCTCTTCTGTAATATTGATTGGCCATCCATTCGGGGACTAGAGTTCCGTCTTTGTTTCCTCTCTCCATATAAGTAGGAAATGACTGCCTTTTGTCACCAGCTTTGAGGCTTTATGTGAGTCTAAGGGGAAGTGATTTGTTTCAGTAAGACATAAACAGGAGGTCTTTAATGTTATGCTGAAGTTACATTATGGGTCTCTGTCATTGTTCAAAAGTACTATTGTGTTGGCATTTTGTATTATTTCATATTATTAGTAATAACTTAAGTTTCCCTGCCCTGTCGCTGCCCTTAGGGAGAAGGATAAATGGACATTCGGGCTTTTCAAAGAATAATTCTGTATAATTGATGGCTCTCCATTTCTCTCCCTCTCCTCTCCTTGAATGCAAGGTTACTCACCATGGATAAAACAAGAGAAGGCCCTAGGATTTCTTAGCTGCTTAGGATTTCAAGGCACTCCTAAGTGGCTGAATGCTCAATCTTAGGATGCTACAATAAAGCTTGGAACATAAAATGAGTAAGTTACATGTAAAATACCCAAAGGCATTAAGTTCCATCCCCACATGGAGACAGAATGGAGCAGGCAGAAGGAAAGATCCAACAAGCACTTTTATTGGGGGCTATGAAAAGTCTTAACGAGACAGAGAAAGTGACAGCTTTCACCAGCATACACCATTACTACCACCCCAAGCAGGAAGAATAGGTTGGGTGAGATGATTCAGCCACAACCTCAGCTCTGTGGAAATGGAAAACAAAAAGCACATGAGGAAATTAAAGTTCAGACAACACAGAGAAAAAACACCATTAGTTTCTCTGTGAATACCCAGGATTGGAAAAGAATGCTTCAGTGAGATTTTCATGGACTCTGTTCATTTGTAGGGAGAAGCAAGATTGAAAATGTCAAAAATATCTCAAAACACATGACAAAACAATGTTGCATGCCTTCTGGGATTGGTCATGCTGGTTTTGAGCCCTTTTAAACGTTTTATTTTGAAGGAAAGGAGATCTTATATGTTCTTATCAGAAATAAATGTTTTATTTTAAAATAGATTTACAGGAAGTTACAAATAAATGTATGGTGAGGCCTCCTGCACTTTTCACCCAGCTTCCCCCAATGTTAACATCTTATATAAATATAGTATGGTGTCTCTCCAGGAAAGTTGACATTGGTACAATCTATAGAGCATACACAAATTTCACCACTTATACATGCACTCATTTGTATGTGTGTGTATAACTCCATGCTGTTTTTATCACATGTGTGGTTTTGTATTAATACAAACACTTTCAAGACAGTTAACTGTACAGTTATGGAAAATACTGTATCACCCCTTTTGGCCACAGCCAGCCTCTTCCTCCCAGCCCTAAACCCTGGCAATTACTAATATGTTTTCCATCTCTATAATTATGCTATTTCATGACTGTTACATAAATGGAATCATGCAGTATGTAATCATTCTTTTCAGATTTTTTTCCCACTCCATATAATTTCCTTGAGGTTCATCCAGGTTGCATGTGTTAATAGTTTATTCCTTTTTATTGCTGAATGGTATTCCATGGGATGAATGTACCACAGTTTATTTAACCATTTACCCATTGCAGGATATTTGGGTAAATTCTAATTTTTTTGACTATTGTGAATAAAGCTGCTATCCACTATTATGCACAAGTTTCTGCATGAAAATAAGTTTGATTTCTCTGGGATAAATGCCTAAGAGTGTACTTATGGGATTATATGATAATCCATTGTAAGAGAAATTACAAAACCATTTTCAGAGTGGTTATACCATTTATATTCCCACCAGCAATGAGTAAGCCAGTTTTTCATATCCTCATCAGCATTTGATGTTATCACCATTTTTAGTTTTGGGCATTGTAACATGTGCAATAACATCTCATGTGGTTTTAACTTGCATTTTTCTAATAATTAATGAAGTTGAACATCTTTCATATGTTTATTTGCTATCTGCATATGCTCTTTGGTGAAATATTGGTACATTTGCCCATTTTCTAATTGTATTGCTCTCTTCAATATTGAATTTTGAGATTTCTTTACACATTCTACACTCAAGTCCTTGGTGTTGGATATGTGATCTGCAAAATATTTTCTCTGTAATTTGTCTTTTCATCTTTCACAGTGTAAAGCATTTAAATTTTGATGTCATTCAGTTCATCAATGATGAGCTTGTTCTGTATCTTGACTCTGTTATGCCCATCTCCTGGCTATGATACTGTGTGTAGTTTTGCCAAGTGCCACCACCTGGGGAAACTGAGTCAACGGTACACAGGATCTCTCTGTATTATTTCTTTCACACATGTCAATGTATAATTACCTTAAAATAAAAAGTTTAAAGAAAAAAATCAGTGTGTACAAATACAAATTCAATTTTAAACTGATTCCAGGTCTTCTTATTTGGAGGAGCCATTCTTCTAGACATCCTGGTGAGAAGCCTGGCGGTCATCCTTTACTCCCTCTTTCATCCCTTCCTCTTCCCTGCATATTTTAAATCTACCCATCCTCTCAGTCTTTGTATGTACTACTGCCCATTTCAGGCATTTGTGATTTACAACTGGTATTATTAATGGGAAAATATGCCCATATCACTTTCTAGCTTCACACCTTCAGTGATTTGCCATTCCTTCCAGAATGAGCCACACGTTTCAATGTGGTATACACAATATGGGCCCCCCAAAATCTTGTTCCTTCTGTCTCAGAAGACTCTATCAACAGGAATCTTTATTTCAAGCAACATAAATTGACTTTGTCTGATTTTAGTGAAAAAATGTATAATTTACTGAACGAAATAGCTAACAGTATTTGCTAGAAAACTGCAGGACCCAGCTCAAGCGCCACATTCAAGGAACAATGCCCCAAGTCTTGCTGTAGAATTGGCCTGTGGTGCTGTAGCTCACACAGTTGCCTCTGTTCTACCTGGAATGGAACTGGATCTTCCTGACCTGCTAAGTTTTCATTGATCTGAAGTCTTTGTGTCGCTAGCTCTCAACTCCAAGTCAGTGAAGGTGTATCTGATTGGTGTAACTTAGATCATATGTACCCATTCCTTATCTGCAAGGGAGGTTGGAAGAGTATTTGCATTTTTCCAATTCTGAACATGGGTTCTGCTTCTCATTCTCACCAGTATAGGGAATTTTCCCTTAGTTACAAGAAGGTTCAGATACTAGAATTTCACAAAAATGACAAATGCCTGCAACCTTACGTCTCATTATTCCTTGCCTTTTTCAACTAACAGAAGACATGTTTTCTTCTCATCCCATTCATCTGTTTTCCCCTCTAGCCAGAAAATCCATAGTTCTATGTCTTTATCTGGACAACACCTATATATTATTTATACAAGAGAGTGGTCCATTCTCTAGGAAGTTTCCATGAACTGTAAAGGTTATATCAGGTATTCTTTCAAATGATTTGTAGATTTTCCTATTGTCTTTCTGTGACTGAATTTGAGTCCATTATGGTCAGAGGACATACCCTATATTTCCAATTCTTTTAAATTTGTAAATATGGCCTTACCTAGGTGAATATTTCATAGGCATTTGAAAGGAACGTATATTGTGCTGCCATTGAGGGGAGTGTTTTATAAATGTCCATTAGATCCTCCTAGTTGATGGTGTTCAGTTCTTTTATGCCCTGGATAACTTTCTGTTCTAATTCTATCAGTTGCTGAGAGTAGAGTGTTGGATCCCCCAATTATATCTGTACAGTTGTCTATTTCTTCTTTTAGCTCTGTCACGGTTTGTTTTTTTTTTTCTCCTTTTTGGCTGCACTGGGTCTTCACTGCAGTACATGTGGGCTTTTTTTGTTGTGTGAAGGTTTCTCTTGTTGAGGTGTTCGGGTTTCTCTTGCCGCAGTGTGTGGGCTAAGTTGCCCTGCAGCATGTGGGATCTTAGTTCTCTGACCACGGATCGAACCTATGTCCCCTGCACTGGAAGGTGGATTCTTAACCACTAGACCACCAGGGAAGTCCTTAGCTCTGTCAGTTTTTGCTTCATGTGTTTTAAAGCTGTGGTGTTCGTTGCATACACATTTAGGATTGCTCTATCTACTTGGTGGAGTGATCCTTTTACCATTATATAATGTTCTTCTTTGTCCCTAGTAATTTTCTTTCTCTGAAGTATACTTTATCTGATAATAATACAGACTTTTTAAATTATGCTTTTAAAAAAATTGCTTGCATAGTATGTTTCCATCCTTTCCAACTACTTTTGTATACTTGTAGAGGACATACAGTTGGGTCATTTTTTTTTAAATTTTTGGCTGCTCTGGGTCTTCCTTGCTTTGTGCAGGCTTTCTCTAGTTGCTTTCTCTGGAGCAGGGGCTACTCTTTGTTGTGGTGCAAGGGCTTCTCATTGTGGTGTCTTCTCTTGCTGTGGGTCCCAGGCTCTAGGCGTGGAGCTTCAGTAGTTGAGGCTCCTGGCCTCTGGATTTCCAGCTCAGCAGGTGTGGTGCGTGGGTTTAGTTGCTCCGCAGCATGTGGAATCTTCCTGGGCCAGGGATTGAACTTGTGTCCTCTGCATTGGCAGGTGGATTCTTACCCATTGCACTACCAGGGAAGTTCAGGTCATGGTTTTTTTTAATCCACTCTGCCAATATCTTCCTCACTTTTAGAATATAATTATCTTATGTATTTCCTCTATATACACTGAACACTTCATCAGACGGTGACATAACTTTTGTTATCCAGAAAAATAAAGAAACTCAAGAGGTGAAGAATAACCTATTTACTTCTAGTTTTACATATTCAGTTGATTTTTTCCTTTCTGAATGTCCCAGCCTTCTGCCATTCTGTTAATCATTCTTTAAGGGTTGGTCTCAAGAAATTCTGTTAGTTTCCCTTTACTGGAGAATGTCTTTATTTCCTCTTCATTCCTGAG